ATATTTTTACTTTTCTGCAAGCTTTGTATGAGCAAAATGGTGGTTTCACTGCACTGGTCAATACAAGTTTGGAAAAACATCCATGCAGTCACAATAACCCTTGGGACCTCATATATTACACTGATGAAATTGTGCCAGGCAACCCCCTTTCTGCAGAGACAAGCAGAAAAATTCAAACAGCTTATCTCAGCTTCAAGCAATTTGGTGCAATTGCCTTATCTAAGGAGGAGGCATGGCTGGTTGCTTTTGCCAAAAGGTCTTCACATGTCATGGAGATGGAAGCAGGCATGTCCCAAGTGACAGCAGCACTTTTGGATCACATATTCCACCACCCCTCTTGTTCCCCTGATATTGGGGGATTGATGCTGAAAGATAGGTCAGGTGGAAGCATTAAACTTTGGTTCAGATTGGGTATGATGCTCCAAGATGGGGCAGCACACAAAGCTGTTTGGGGGTTGAAGGGTGATGCAGCTAGTAAATTCTGTGTATTTTGTTTGAATTTACTGACTGAGAAAAGCAACATTGTTGATGAGTCCAATGAGCATCTGCTCATTGCCCAAAGTTGGGACATTTCCCAAGTTCAACAAGCAAGCAATGATGATGTTCATGCAACTGCCAAAAGATTGGAGCAGAAACATGTGGAACTCAAAGCCAATGAGTTTCAACTTTGGCAGCAAGCAGTGGGAATGAATTACAACAAGTATGCACTGCTGCACTGGGAGTCACTGAAGGGCCATGTCCACCCTATCAGCCATTTTCTCCATGATTGGATGCACTGTTTTCTGGTATCTGGGATCTTCCAAACTGTTATGCATTTGATTATGACAGCTTTGGAAGCAAATTTTTCTGGAAATGTCTATGATGTGGCCAGTCAAGTTGTTGGTGCTTGGAACCTGCCTGCAGTCAGGCATGACAATTTGGGGAAACTGTTTGAACCAAAAAGGAAGAAAGCCAACAAACTGGCAGGCACCTTCAAATGCACTGCCAGTGAAGCTTTGGGACTTGCACCAATTTTTGCATACTTCCTGCAAACCATTATAGTGCCAAAAGGTTTGTGCAAAGATGAATGCTTTGCCTACTTTGCATTGGTGGACATTTTGGACCTGATCCAATTGGTGCCTTTGGGCATTATCACACACCATGTGCTTGAGAGATCTTCGCAAAACTTCATTAACCTATGCATCACAGCTGGTTGGAAGCCATACATGCATACCAAGTTTCACTGGAGCTTACATTTTGGACATCACCTGTCCAAGCACAAGATGTTGCCATCTTGCTTTGTTCAAGAACGCAAACATAAAACCATCAAGAGACACTTGGTAATTGTTTTGATGGCTTTGCATTCCCACATTTCTTTTTTATTGTTGCTTCTTGCATGCTGATGAGCCCTGTGCAACCCTCAAGATTTAGATACTGAGGATATGCATCCTCCATCCAGAACCTGAAAACCTTTGAGAAGTCTGTCACATCTGAAATTCTTTGCCATGATATGGAGAAGCTGCAAGACCCTGATGCATTTAGTGAATCTGCTAGGCTAGTGAAAGAGGGAAAGCCCAGCAAGAAATTGCTTTGTTTTTTGCAAAAGCACTTGAATTGTACACAAGATGTGGAAATTTTCAGCTGCTTACAAGCACATATGTCACCTGCAGGAATTTGCAGCAAAGGTGATATTTGTGTCTTCAAAGGCAAACCTTTGAAATTTTGCCAGGTGTGGTTACATGTCAAGCTGGATTCCACAATTTTGTCTATGGTGTCCATGTGGGATATTCTGGAAATTGATGAATGTGGATGCCATGCTCTGTGCAAGAAGAAAGATGATGCAATGTTTGTGGAAACACACACCATTGCCACCACTACTTCTTTTATGAATTTCAAGAACAACTTGTACAAAGTTATCATTCCTTTCCAATGGGGGTAATGTAAATGGCAGCAAAGGTTTCTGAAATGCTGGCTGCTGTTTCACTGAAAAAGAAAGATGCTGCATCTAGTGCCTTGGGTTGTACTGGGCCAAAAAGCTGTAGGTAAGCTCTAAAGCATTTAATTCAGCCTGGCAATGAGTTGCACATTGAGTTAGACATTTTGAAGCCTCCATGCTTCATGCACAAGCCCTGTGGGCTTCATGTTCAAGCCCTGTGGGCTTATGGGCAAAGCAAGGTCATAGGCCCTTAGACCATATGCAACACAAGTTCTTGGCATGCCCATGGCAAACATCTTTGCAACTTTCAAACCACTATACATACATGTCTCAAGCCAACAAGGCTTATGCAAGCTTCAACCAACAAGACAAAATGTTCGTGCTGAGTTACAAGCATGAATTCCTCTCTATAAGGGTATGTTCCAACTTCCACTATATGCAAGTTTTTGGCCCAGAGGATCACCTGCAGCCTTCTTGCTTCTGTATACCCAACATGCCTTCAGTGTATGTGGAGCAATGGCAGGATCCAATTACCTTGGCACTCTTTGAAAGAGTATGGGTCTCATCCTATTGGAGAAGAAGCTGGACAAGACATGATGCCATCCTCTACTGTAATGCCAGGTATGCCCTCAGAGTTTGCAAGATGGAAAAGACAAAATTCAAGGCCAAGCTTTTGAAGGGAACCAAGAAGGTTTGTACAAGAAGCATTTGAAAAATGCCAAGTAATTTGTGATACATCACCTTCTTTTCTTGCACCACTGCAACCCTTGAGCAGAGGTGTATCAGGACAAATAAATGCTGAGACCTTCAACTTGGGAGAGGAAAATGCATGGGTCTTGCAAGAGTGAAGCTGCAGCCACTGCCAGTCCTGTTGACACCATATACCACAGGTGGTTTTTGTTTTGTAGTCAAATCTTCAAGCCCAAGGGCTTTTGTCTAATTGGGAAGAAGGTTTCAAACAAACAAGCCTGGCTGCACTATGTCAAGCCAATTTGGCTTATGTATTTGCAAGCTTCAAGCATGCCCTGTGTAGAAATGGGTATGCATTCAAAACATGCATCTATTCCATTAAAGGAAACATGTCTGAGCTTGCATATGCTGCATGAAGCTTGCAGTGTATTTATATAGATGTTTCAGGCTGCCAGCTCTTTGAAATATTTTCAAATTGTCCAAAGCAAATACCTTTTTCTAGGTTGAGGTCAAGCATTGAAGATTGGCATGGGTTGTTGTTAAATGGATTGGAAGCAGCAGCCAAGCATGCCAGTGACAGCCAGCCACAAACATGAATCATAAATTAAAAAACTAAGTTTTTAACCAATCAGCCTTGGTTTTTGAAGTACCTAACCACTTAGCTAACTACTTAGCTAAGTACCCAGCTAACTACTTAGCTAACTAGTTAGCTAAGCACTTAGCAATAGTTATAAATGATATAACCTAGACCCTAACCTATAGCAAAGTTAGCAACTCCCCGGTTCATCCCAGTGGGATATTATCCCAAAACTGCTGGGCCTCCACCGCGTCCTGCAACTCCTGAAGGAGCGCCGGGTTCTGGAGGACGTAGTCCTGTCAGGAAGCAAGCAGCTGTGCCTCCAGAGGAACCGGTTCCTGGCATGCAGCAAGGCAAGCGATTCAGGTGCACTTGTCGGTGCACTGTCCCAGGCGCGCCTCCTGCAGCGCAATGTCGGCCCAGCGGCCCGAAAAGAGAGTAATGTCTCCGATGCAGGCCATTGCCTGGGTGACCGGCGATAGACATACAGGAAGAGAATATATAAACGGAGCAAAGGGGCGATGCCTGCGCGCATGTGCGGCAACAAAAGTGGAAGATTTGATCTGAGCTGATTGTGCTTACTATTTGACAATGGCCTGCTAGCCACGTAGTAACTTTTGCTTGAACAATCACAATATATATATATACATATATATATATATACATATACATATAGTAAATATATATATCTTTTAATTTGGTACATAGCAATTCTTGGTACAGGATGGTGCTCCCCGTTATAAGTTGGTTTATAGACCCCATTCACTATAGTTATATATACCTAGAAAATCTTTTGGGCTGCAATTTCAGACTTAGGGCAAATATGAGACTGAATGCAATTCGGGCAGAAAATCAGACTGAGGACAAGTTCGGGCAGATTTAGCGAACTCAGGCACAAATCTGATGAACTTAGTCTGATTCTAAGAAAGAAGTTGGCTCAAACACAGCTGAAACATGTTAAATTACCTCGACCAAGACCTTCCTCAGGTTGAGTGTCTACTAGAGTCTAGCGCAACCACTATACTGCTTCCAATTCGGAGCGAACAACATTTGATGCAAAGCAACTCCCAAATCAGGGGAAGCATGTTTTAGCGCTTTGTGCAGTAGAAGCCTAGGAGTGACGTGCTGTGTTGTCTCGATTTTTCTGTGACGAGCTGACGAGCTATATAGCGTTCTATGCTGATAAGGACAGGGCCTGTTTTGTTACGAGTACAAACTCAGGCCAAAATTTCCAGAAGTATGAACAACCCGGGCGAAAAAAAACGAAATCAGGCGAAAAAAACACTAATCGGGCGAACAAAAAACGAAACACTGTTTTTTTTCGATCTTGATCTGGCTGACTGGTGAGAGTTGTTTTCATGGATGAACCAGGCTCTGTGACGATTTGGCTGTAAACCCTGTGAGGGGTTGCGTGAGCTTTGTAATGTAAGTAAATGGATTTAAGTTTGGTCGTTTGAGACTTTCACAAGAGGCCGTCCATGCTGCCAGTTTGTCTTTTCAAAGTTATGATGGCCAGAGGCTTTATGTTTGAAACATCTATCGATAATGGGTGCTTTGTTGTTTTGTTTTGCTGGATGAAACATCTGCGATTGAACATATTTTGTTGTTTGGTGCTGCAAAGGTGTGGATTTGAGTAAAATCACCTCAATCTAGTTTTTTTCCTCGGCCAGAATGTCTGAACTTGGGCATAAATTCAGACTGAACTGGGTCCGTCTATATATATATATACACCATAAACCATAGTTAAGCCACTTATAATGCAATTTAGCTATCTTGGGGGCCCCATCCTGTGGAATGCTTCTCTATTGGCGCCAAACGTCACTGCCCAAGCTCCTGAGCACGCTCGGAATCGTCGATTGACTTTGGCGTAAAGATCCTGAGAGCGGCAGCGTGGCTGCTGTGGAAACAGAAATGGCAATGCAGTGGCGAAAATCGACTGGAATCTGGTGGATTACTGTTATTCGAGAAATTGTGGTCAGCTTTATGATATTGCTGTTATTTTTATGATAAAATTCAATTGTTCAAATCGAATCTGTCGACAATCTATCCTTTTGAGATTATATTAGAAAACATGCGGTTGTGGTTGCAAGCTCTATTCGTAGCTGAAACTGGCCATGGCTAATAGGGAATATATGGGAATATGAATATTTCTGAATTCCCATAGCTCCGAACCCCTGCCCCCTAACCATTGCATAGTAAATCTGAAGTCTAAGACGACTCATGGAATACCACAACGCCAGGACCTGGTGACCTGATTTTTCATAATCACTGAGTTATCTCAAAGCTGAAAGAGATTAACCATCATTAACCTTCATTAACCATCATTATTAATAGTGAATAATAGTGGTTATTAATAGTGGTTATTAACCATCATTATTAATGATAACCAGATAATTAACCATCATTAACCACTATTATTCACTAGAAAAACCACCATTAACATCCTACAACCACTTCTGTCTGTGCCATTTCCTTGTTGGTAACCCCCCATTGGTTTTGCTCCGTGTCATCACACGCCCTGGAACCTCGACAGGGCAGCTAGCCAGGAGTAGAGTCTGGGGGTGATCCCCTTCTCGGCTTATAATCATCCTGATATGTTAGTGAATCTTTGTCTGACATGTCCATATTCTACGCAAGGATGGCTTTGTTCGATGGTCACCTGATATTTTTGTTCACAGTTTTCCACAGAGACGAGGCGGGCCAAAAATCCAAAGGCTAAGCAGAAACTTGACACAACACTTGCCATTCTGAGAAGTATATCATGTCATATCCCATTCTTCGGAAAACACAAACATAGTTTAATGGTTTAATTCCTGGTACGTTTGCACATTTACATGTTGGTCATTCAAGAGCCACAAGTTCACTAAACCTTATGGTTTTGTGTGGTTCTTGGTGTGGGTACTGTAGCATTTCATGACTGTGGTAGTAAGCCCAACTACCGAAACTATTCCCAATAGAGGTTTATTATTGGCCATATTCCCTCTTTGGGATGATGTTTCTCATGCCCCCCTATCAAAGGGCATTGAGGCTGGTTCACAGGATGCTTTGTTGGGAAATCAAATTGTGTGATGATTATGATTGCATATTTCTACACAATAATAGACTATTAAACAACTATTGCATATTTCTATATTAAATATTCCCAGTTGTTTGATGATTGTGACAGTGCACCTGGTACCCATCCCATCTTCTTTTCATCGTCCAGTATCTAGACCTACAACGTGCTGGACACCGGCCATGGCGCATTGTGACAAGGTGCCCAGCCAAGAAAGATATGGTGTCCCGTTGTGTGGTCAGCAAAAATGGCGATGTCATGGCATAGTGATTCAATGGGGTTTTGTGAGTTAAGTTGGTAAACGTAACTAAGCGAACGAAGATTTCGAGCGGAACTATCTATCTATCTATCTATCTATTTATCTGTCTATATATATATATATATGTATAGAGAGAGAGAGAGAGAGTTAGATGGGATTCTAAACCAGCGTATGACTGGGGGAGCCCTTCTTGTATGGCTTTTTTGGTCAAAAGGCTCGGCTGCAGTGTTTCAGGGAGACTGCAGCCACTCCAGCTTTGCGGATAGTGGCACCATTACACTTACACAAGTTACCCATGAGGGTCAACCACATTCCGCATTCTGAAGCTATACACTTCAGGGAACTTCCACCGATTCGTCCCTAGTCAGCTATCATGAAACATGGCCGTGGCGTTCCACCGGGCCCTGTTGTGAAACACAACGAAGCCAAACTGGCTGGGCAGAAACTGGCAACGGAGAAATACACAACTCTAGACCATTAGAGTATTAAAGCATGACCATGTCACGTAAATTGGCATGCATATATATATATATAGATAGATAGAGAGTTTGTTTCCATCAAACATGCATTTCAATCGATTTGTTAAAGAACTCTGCTCATTTTGTTCACAGAATCAAAAAATATACCTGGTCCGGAACACGTCGTTCGAAAGGCAGCTGGGCAGTAGATTACGTTATAGTGCCTTACGCTTGTAGTACAGTAACCCTCCCAAAATGGAAATGCGTAACTTAGACTAATTTAGCACTGTTCACCACTAGTTTAGTGCTATTTTGCCAAATTCCATCCTTTTTGGTAGTTGCTTAAATTTAAGGATATTTAAGGATATCAACACTGCAAAACGAAAAAGTCCTGGTGGCCTTGACATTCTGTCCTTCGGTGGCATAGTGAGACCTCAGTGGCATGGCGATGTGAGCCTTAAAAATGGCTGATGGCTCTACCATGGAGAAATTCATGAATTAGTTGACCATCCATTTTATCCTGAAACTCCCCACAAAGCATGAAAATCTGATCAAATCCGATGCGGATAGGCGGATAGGCTCACCAGTTGGGGTGAGATCAGCCGGCCGAGAGATCATTTGAGATCATCAGCCGGTCAATATGAATCTGCAATTCGTTGGTCATGGAAAAACCTCATTCTTACAACCACCAATTTCAAGGCATCATTGTCATCATTGTATATCATTGCTACAAATGGTTGTAAATGTACTCATCATTTGGACTTGTGGTCTGGTTCAATCCATTTTCTTCCAAGCTCAACCGTTGCAGGTCATCTACAACATGGTGGGCGGATTTTCTCATATTCGTCGATAAAATACTAACTATGTGATGCTTCAATACACGTATATATATATTTAGGTGACAACATAGCTAGCTGCCTTTGAAAGAGTCATGCTCAGAGCAAGTTTTCCATACTCTCCTCATCTGTTGCCCTTGCAACATGTCATAGCCAAACTTAGATACGCAAAAGTAGCAGGGTAGAATAGATCCACACCCACATCCCCAACCAACCTTTAAGAAACCAATGACATTGACACATCATCCTTCAGATCTTAGATTATTATATATTCATCTATCTTCACCTTACAAGTACATTATATCTATTTATATCTTAGATTTTAGACACACAACATCAAAATACCACGTCGATCCAAGTCGAAGAATCCGATTTTCCACAAAAAAATATCGGACAGGAGACGGCAGATGTTCGCCCCCGAAAGAAAGCTTTGACTTCTTAGATACTGGAACAGCAAATCTTAGATACAGGAGACGGGAGATATTCGCCCCATTGAGATACCCTCTGGTTATTTAACATAGCTACGTATGGAAAATGGCCCATTTACAGTTGATTTTCCCAGCTATAAACCGCCATTTAAAATGGATTTTCCACACGCGTGTTAAACATGGAGCCGATCATGAGAACACCATTAATATCTGGTTGGTGGTTTCAACACCTGAAACATATTAGTCAGTTGGGATGATTATTCCCAATATATATGGAAAATAAATTTTATGTTCCAAACCACCAACCAGATATCCATTAATCATCATTAATCATGGAGTTAATTTCCCAAAGCGATGTGTGAAAAAATCCCAACTGGCTGCGGTTCTGCGTCTGGGGTTCCCCAGCAAGACACTGAGGATGGAGCTTCCAGCCATAGTCCAGGCCGTCGACCTGCATTAAAGTCTGAAACTTTCGTTGATTTTTTACCGTTTATAAACATTTAAAAACTTCCATGAGATATATATATATATATAACTTAGTTATGTTTATGTTGGTTTATAAAACCCATGATACATTTTTTTGTTCAACAGATCTATCCTTAATTCTGATGAATCTAGGAATATTGTTGGATATGATCTGTTAAAAAAATGCATACTAGACATTTGATGCCATGCCATGATTCTCCAAAATAGTTTTAAGTTATAAACAATCCCATTCACTCCCATCATCTGCAAAGAAACTATAAATCCCTTTGACCCCCATTAAATCAGGATAAAATCGCCATACAATTAACTACACAAATCACCATTCAATCCCATTAATTAAGTCTCATTAAACTCGTTAAGGATCAACTCTGCCAGGTGTAGAGATCAAATGAGATGACCATGCGAAAGGGGCTGGGTTGTACCCAAGATGAAGACAAGAAAGTCTTTTTGTTCACCTCGCGCAACAACTTTGTCTCTCTCCAAGTGCAGTATTATACACTGCACTGCCAGCTTCATCGAGGGGGATGATTCAATGACTCCATCATCTGCATTCGCTGCCGCAAGGGCAAATCCTTGATCTTCAGCCCACGTTCTATCAGCATGTGGTCTGGCAGCTTCCCATGCTTCATGGCAAACCTCGCATTCAAATCCTTGGGCAACATGTTCGACGGCACCTTCCCATGCTTCATGGCAAACCTCGCATTCAAATCCTTGGCAACATGTTCGACGGCAGCTTCCCATGCTTCATGGCAAACCTCGCATTCAAATCCTTGGGCAACATGTTCGACGGCACCTTCCCATGCTTCATGGCAAACCTCGCATTCAAATCCTTGGGCAACATGTTCGAGGGCAGCTTGCCATGCTTCATGGCAAACCTCGCATTCAAATTGTTGGGGATGAAGCTTGGTGGCGTTTTGCCATTTCTGACCATCATCAACTCGAGCTCCTTCATGGCTCCAAACACCCCAGATACATCAGGGTAGATCTGGGTAGATCTGGGTAGATCTGGGTAGATAAAGAGATAAACATCACCAATTTGATCCAATTGCCCCACCTTGAGGCTATCAATGTCCCCATCTAACCATCAAACTCGATATTTCTACCAAAAAGATCCAAATAGTTAGCGCCTTTAGATATTGTAAATGTAAGGATATGTAAAGTAATCCCCTCGTTATTTCAGGCCGCCGGAGCCATGTCCTTGGACATCGGCCAGGCCAGTGGCGCGGCCGGCGGCTTGGGGGAGGAAGCCCGAAGATTCGGGCAACATGGCCATGGCAAGGAAACGGAGGAAACGGAAGGCCTGCATAGAGACAACTTTACAAATCACAGTGGAAGCTACTTGCCGATCTTGAGGCAAAAAGCTGCGAAAAAGAACGGGAGCATCACAAGAATCGCTCATGGATGGTGATCTGTCATGTCTTGTCTAGACTGGGCAGGTGAACATAGGCGAACATTGGAAATGCTCTGGCTGAATGATATGCCAAATGTCATACTCTGCAATTGCCCAAGTTCACTGCTTGCTCCACTTCCCCACACTCCAGCTGAGCCGCTCCCGTGGCCAGCGGCTGACCAGGCTGATCACAGCTCCTGCGCACCATCCATTTGGGAATGGTAACCATAGACCTATAAAAATGGTGATTTGGGGGATGGACATTAGATAATCTACTATATATATATATATGTATATATATGTGTGTGTGTGGATCTATATCTATCTAGATCTATATTCTATAAATCTAATATCATATATATATATATACGTATATAATATATATATATATATATATGTATATGTATGTATGTATATATATATATATGTATATATATATGTATATATATATATATGTATATATATATATATATATTTAAATCTCTACATTAATGTACATTATAAATATAGATCCAATTAATCAAATATAGATCCAACTAATCTAATGTAGATGGGATGTACATATATGGGAATCTCCCATCTTCTAACTAATATGGAATCTTCCAAGGGATAGTCAGATATTGATGGAACTATAATCCTCTAATTACTCTTAACTACATAGATAGATGGGATGTACGTTAGGGAATATCCCATCATTCTCTACAATGCCCTAATTTACATTCGTTTGATATCTCCCGACATTATCGTTTGAGGATGGAATGGTATAAATGGATATCAATGTTTCATATCCACCATCAAATTTGGGAAATGATGGGAAATGATTGGGATGGTAAATGAACTACTGGTATTTATATATATATAGATATATTGGACATTGAATGATTATGGGATAGTTCAGACATGGAATTTCTGTGATTGCGGAAAATTTTGGAACTTAGCGAGATAATTATCTAACTATCTAACTATAAAACTAATAATTGATATATGTGTGATTTTGATGCTATACAATGCTTGATGTTCATAAGGATTTTAGTGGGCCTGAACAATCTCAGCATCAAAGATAGGGATTGAACCCATAACCCTCCAACTGAAGATGGCAATTTACCACCTATGTGAAGGGTAGAGTTGGGATGGTTTATTGTTTTGGGTTTAGAACAGTCTTCAGATTCAGCAGTAAAATCCGAGTTCCACTTCCACTTGAAGAAACAATGGATTGGGTAATTTTCCATTGCGCAAAACATACTAATTCTAACAGGCACAGCATTCATCAACCCTGCCCAAGCTCAGGACACACAACGAGGTTAGATGTCGGGATGTCCAAGCCTGTGTCTGACCACTCTGTCAAGCCAGAGGCGACTCTCTGAGTTTCACCACCGGGTGGACTTTCTCAATGGTCTGCGGTTCAAATCCCTTGCTTCATACATAATCGCAGTGTTTCCAGGCAATTAGATGATGTTAGCCCCATAATTTCATATAATTTCCAGGTTTCCTACTTTTCAACCACTTTCTTAGGGGTCTGTTTTCATGTGAAAAGCACCACGACCTGCGACACTACGACACGGTCTGCCAGTTTGATCCGGTCCTGAGAAGAGACCCGAAACGGCACCGTTCCAAGGGAAAGGAAGTCCATCCCGAGACAGAGCCTGGGACTTTGAGAAAGCTGGGGACCACACCCCAAACGGAGGCCGCACAGTCCATCTTCATATGTTCATCCTACTTCAATCCTACTTCCTGGGATTCTCCCGATTATAAAGAATATCCCATCAATCTACTTCAATTATATAGTTTAAATTCCTGGGATTCTCCTTTCCAAATCTATATCAAGGGCGTTGTCTACAGAAACATGACGAATCTTCCTGTTCTGGTTGTAGAATTTGCTGGATTCATATCCGGATCAACCATGGCCCCCAACAAAGGCAAGTTTAAGGGATACGCTCTGGTAAATTTGCCAGTTTAATCTAGTTATTTTAAGTTATTTTAGTTTACCAGATGATTGTATTGATGATCAATAACTAGATTGATGATGATATGGAACATGGATGAACATGGCCCGTTTAATTCGATGATTTTCCCAAGATGGTGATGTTCCATATAGTTAACTAAACTTACCACAAGGTAACATGGTCATTTTGAAGGGATCGTCACCAACACCGGGCTCGAGGCTTCCCATATCTTCCTATATCTTCCCATCACCAAGGCCCTGCACGCAGGAAGAGAATGAGGTCAGAAGACACCTTGGAGATCTGCAGATTAAGAAATAACACAAGGAACACCCATGAAACTAATATGAAAGGGGGACACCCATGAATAGCCCATGAAAATCTGAAATATAACTGAATAGACGCTGAGAGATCTCTGAAAATGGGGAGCACCCATGAATAGCCACTGAATAAGGACGATTATGATATCCATTCAGGTTTGGGGTGCCCTAGTTTCGGACAAAACCAAATGTCGTTATCACCTTTTCATCAAGAAAAACATGATTTTATGATCAGAAAATTGCAGTTGAAAGCAATAATAGTTGTTATCAACAAAAAAGATGCTATAGCCGACGCATAATTGGCTTTACAATGAAAGATATGGGATTGGCTACGAGGAATCTCAACATAACAAGTCATATAATTTGTTACCAACATCTACACTCCAAATCACCCAGTCATGCAGGTAAGCGTACCAGCATCATGGAGCATACGGGACTATTGCATTAGGTATTTACTCCATCCAGTGATAAAGATTAAACCTAAACTATTATGTCCATCACGTATCATGTATGGATTAATTTGATAATATGATTAATGATTATTATTAATCATATATGTCACAAATGTCCATGAATTTACTAGTTCACATTGTTTATGAATAATTATCACATATTTGAATATGTGATATAAATATATACCATTTCATGTTCATTTTCTATTTATAGAATTTACATCAGTTTACTATTTCACATTATCACATGGCTATGAATGAATCCAATGATTCCTTCCACTCCTTGGGATTCAGCCAGATCATCGAACTCAATGGCCACCAGAAACTGTAGTAGCTTACTGGACCTATATCACATTACATCCTATTCATAAAATAATTATCATTAAATCTCAAGAATCCTATGAAATCTATCAAAATCCCATGAATCTGGGTATTTTGGAATATTTCACTAACATGAAAACTTGCGGCCATGTATGGGGATGATTCCCACATTCACAATGATTCCAGGCTTCGGGAGAACGACATGAGGCCGCAACATCATCTACAAAATACCATCAATACAATCCCTATAAAATCTATATATAAGATTATCATTACCCATTCTAAATGTCTAGAAACAATAAACCCTATAATCATGAATTAAATCCATTCATATTCCAATAAACCATAGTAAATCCTATATAATCCATTATAGGTTATAAGGTAAACTCCCAAAAACGGCAAAGGTGTTTTTCTCAACGCCGAGGCGCCAAGAACCTGCCAATAGAGCAGGCCGAAAGGGTGCCATCAAATGGGCCATAAGACCCATCCCCTAAGGCGCGCGTTTAGAGAATTTTTCTGGTTTTTCCATGGGGATTTCATAGGAATTTCCATGGAGATTTCATGAGATTTACCCTTTGGTAAACTAATATAACTATGGAAACTGGCCCATTTATAGATGGTTTACCTATTGAAAATGGTGATTTACTATAGCTATGTTAGTTTACCAGAGGGTAATGGGGATTTCATGAGATTTCATTCGAATCTACATGGATTATATTAGGGACTTAAGGTGATTCAATGGAATACCCCAGGGGTAAACAGTTGAACAAAAACATCAGAAAGGACCAAACTTCATGGTGGGAGCCGGAGAAGGATCTACAAATATGGTGGTTTATTCTTGGGGATGTTCTATGCTGGGGTTAGAACATATGGTTATGCCTAGAAATGGCTATTAGTAGTACATGATTATTTCACCAACAAATTTATTCATGTAAAAAACAATAGTGGGGATACTGAATAATTGGAGATCGCGGGGTTATAACCAAGTTATATCAACACGTATATATATATATACACACGTATATATACACACATATAGGTACATACTTACCTACACTACCAATTTACGTATATATATATATAATATACACATTGTGTTTATAAAATATCCCCAGGTAGATTGATGGGTTGTAAACCACTAACGGGGACGAACATCCTAGTGGGCCCTGGGTCCGCCTGGACACTTTTGTACATACTCGACGCCCAGGGAACCCAAACCACCTGGGATAGAAAACACCTCCCTAGCCTCCCTAGTTCGATGGTTTACCCTCAATAACCATCAATAATCGATATATGTGATATAATGAACATATAGTGGATATAATGGGGATATAATGGGATGATACGAACTTAACTACATGGTAATCAAACATATCTAGCCGGGAAATCCACTGTAAATAGAAGTGTTAATGAGAAAAAACATCGACCTAACTGGTGGATTTTCCAGCAAACCATGTATCGTTTTTTTGGATCATAATGGTAACGGAAAACCTGGCCCATGCCAAGTTGATGTGTTATGGATCAACAGAAACTTCTATGAAGACTCACAGTAGCCCACTTTTTTTCATGGCACGTTTTTTTTTGAGAAGGCCAATCCAAAACCATAAACATCCATAAAAGAGTCCCAAAGTTGACTGGTTTATCATCATGTTCACCATGAATTGATGCTCATTAAATCATGTCGTTGGTTACAATGTATGATATATAATTGTATAGCGCACTCTGCGGCGTCCAGGGACCGTCTCTGGTCCAAAGACCAAGCCGAATACGCCACCTGTGACGGTCGTTGACCAGTCAATCTTATGGCTACAAAAAGGTTGTATAATGAACAAACAATAGGGGATGGTCAATATAATATGTATATAATATATATATATGTATATTTAAAAAATAATAATATAAATATATATATATATATATTTATTGAGATGAACAATAGATCTAGCTACAAACAATATATGGTGGTATGATGGGATATGCAACACGCAGTGTGAGATGAGGATATAAGATGAGGATGAAAAAACATCTGTTGGAATTTTGAGGTTCTAAAGTTATGATAATGGGATTGTGTTACAATTATACCTATATATATTATATTATACACTCATTGCATTGGAATTTAAAGACCAATTATTATACCATGAGAGTGGCCTCTTAAACACTATAATATCATCATTTAACATACGCATGTTGGTCCATGTTGGTCCATATTGGTCAAGAATTGGTCCATCTTGATATTTATCCATTTTTCTACCATTCAAAATTAAGGGATATTCAATGTTATCCGTACCATTTCAAGTCTCTCCAGAAAAACGCCTGTCAAATATTTCGTCGTTCTCATGATCTATTTGCAAGGCTTAATATATGCATAAAAATATTTATATATACATATATATAGATAGATAGGGAGGGAGGGAGGGAGGGAGAGAGAGAGAGAGAGAGAGAGTACCCCCATGCACCCCCAACAAAGAGATGGAAAAATAATACTCATAGAATAATAGTTTATATTCATGTGTAGATCCTGCAAGCACGATTTTATATTTCTCCAGGTGGGCTACAATATTTCACCCGCTTGAAATGTTTGACTATGGGCTGCTTCACCTGCCTATCGCCTATAGTGATGTCATTGTGAGGTCGTTATTCGCCTAAATAAAATGGCCAGCCCATCATCATAGAGTATTCATGCTATAGTAGTCCCAGGTAAACCACCATACTCCAACCATATTCCCATAATAAAAATGCCTTTCATAGCAACCCAAACCTAGAACACTAAGGTTGCAAAACTCGTAACATTGCAGTAGCATAGTAACATAGTGGATCTTTCTCCAACCTTTTCTTTTTGGGGTTCCCGCAACCACCGTTACAAGAAAATTTCGGCGAAAAATCTGCCCTGCGAGTCGCCTGCCACAGCGCCCCGGTAGAAGGACTCCACGCTGCTTGACACCTCGGAGTACAACGTTGGAAGAAATCACCTGGGAGAACTCTGGGCTGTCAACAATAGGGATTTGATGGGATTTATTGAGAGTCCATGGGATATCATGGGAATATTTGGAGGATTCATAACTAGGGTGTGCCCCAATATCTGGAGGGTTTCATAAATGAAAACCCTTTTTTTCAATGGATGATTTGGGGATACTCCCATGTTTCTTAAATCATGGAAAGTCTCCAAGATTCCCCAAGTCACCATAATAGTTGTTTCAATACGAAATATCATCTCAATCTGCTGTTACGGTGTCATGACCATGGCAGTTGCAAAGCATCCCACGCAGTTGATGTCAAACATGGATTTGCTAGGACACCCGAGGAGAACCCGCAGCCTGTTTGTACATTCCTTAAAGAGAGCTGAAGGAGTTTGCCCCCAGCCCACTTCTACGCGTAATTCACAGAATGCAGGTGAACATTAATTAGCAGTCGGGATCTTCTATGTTCATTGGAAACAAAGGTCCCTCTCCGTGCAGTAAAAACCTGTCTGATGCTGAAGCAGCCTCGGCCGGCTCAACCAGTGCTTGCACTGAATCTAAGTAAACATTCCGAATTGGGCGTAGCCAGGCCAGAACTGTGAACAAAACTAAAAATGAGGAAAGGCAGCTTGAGCATGCTGCCCATGGACCCAAGCAATGTGGTCAAGGCTGTAGCACACCATTCAGAAATAAAAGGCTGCCATGGAGGCATCGTTTCCGGGTCAAGAACTATGTGGACGACGTCAATGTCAGAAACAATCCGAATGACTATAAGCAAGGAGCGGTATGGCGAAGGAAGAGAGCTGCATGACCAGCGACCAGCACTGACGCCAGTAGGACATGGTGAACAAAATATCTTGACAAGACTCGCAATGTGTTTCGCCACACGGATGGATTTGACACTGCGAGCCAAATCAAACAAGACGGAGTCCCAAAAGCCAACCTCTTGGCCATATAGTGAGCAGGATGTTCTGTCGATCTGGTTGCCTGATCAACAAGATGCCGTCACCATGGCCAGCACTGATGTACTAGATGCTGCTCAGTGAGCTGCTTCACATTCACCCATTGCTCTCGTTGCCCTCGTTGCAAGGGAATGTCCAAATAAGATCCAACAGAGTAAAGACGCTGCTGTAGGCATCCAGTACGATTCCCTGGAGATGTCCATCGTTGTAGCCAACTTTGGAAGTCGATCACTAACATGAATAAACAGCCGTATGAAACATCCGGTCAAGGATCGGCTGGAACGGCCCCACCCGCTGGAAGGACTTGACCCACACGGCTATGGGTCAAAACCCTGGTGCCCAAAAGGTACCACAAGTTATAGCTGGTATAGCTGGATGGTTCTTCCCCTAGTCATATGGTATTGATATAGGTTTTGGCCCCCAAATTACCTTCAAAAATGATGTGATACTCTACTCCTAAAGTTGGTACCCTCCGGGTTTAGAAATATCCAGGGGTACCCCAATATCCATGCTGCCTGTGATATTGAGTTACATGACATGACTAGGTCCTTGATGAGACACATGTAAATAAACCAGACATGAACTGGTGGGTGGTTTCAACCCCTTTGAAAAATATTAGTCAGTTGGGATTCCCAATACATGGGCAAACAACAAATGTTCCAAACCACCAACCAGAAGATGATAATAGTCACCATATGATATGTGTCTTATAACCGTTCATCATCATTCATCTGGGTAAACAATAACTTATAATAACTTATAATAATTCACAAACCTGAAAAAAGTCGACTATTTCGAGACACAGTTCTTACCCCAATCCAAATGCCATCATTCCAGGGTTCGGTCGCAGTGAGGTCGTTGTAAACCCAGATTCATGGGACTTCACGATTGTTACAACAGGTTACAACCATCACTATAGCTGGCAATGTGGAATTCACCCAATTTCGCTCCCCCCGGGCACATGGATGCCCATGGTTTACAGTTCATGAATCGGATAATCGTAGTGAAGTTCGTAAATTGATGGTACTTGCTTGATAATCCAGAAACTATCCCTGGTAAAACATAACTAGATATAGCAATCTAATTATACATAACAATATAACAGCTATAAGATATGTAGGTACGTGGATCATAATTTCGTTATTGACCATCTACATAAAATCATTTGGATCATTTTTGAAGCTTTAATCTTCAGGGTCTCGGTGGCTTTAGGATGGTTTTTTTGGGGTCCTATTAAAACCTATTATCCCCTTGCCCTATCGCCACGGACATGTGGATGGAGTTTCCCCCAGGATGGATTAAGCTGATCTGGTGGTAGACCTACCCCTCTGAAAAATGATGGACTTAGTCAGTTGGGATGATGACATTCCCAATTAATATGGAAAGTCATAAAATTCATGTTCCAAACCACCAACCAGATATATAATGTTAATTATAATGTTATATATATATATACGTACAACAAAAAAAATAGTCAAATGGGAGTCTTATTCCCAATATATATATATATATAATATATATATATGGAAAGTCATAAAATTCATGTTCCAAACCACCAGCCAGCTGATAAAATCTGATAAAGCCATAACGCTCGTCTTAGGACGACACGCAAGACACTTCCGGTGGCGGCTTTGTCCACATGGCGCGGCGCCAACCGATCCGTAGAAATACGCCAACCGATCTTGGAAGCGATTCACCAGCCATATGATCAATGGGAATTTCAGGATCCTAAAATGGAGGTACTGTACCATATAAGACCATATTTTCTGGGGATATTCCCTTACATAGGCCTTACATAGGCCTTATATATGGTAGGTACCTCCAATCGAGGATCCTGAAATGGCCATTGATATGGTGATGGCTTTTATACATGTGAAAAAACACAGTCATTGGTGGTGATTTTGACGACTTGGGGATGGTTTATGGCACTGGGTTTATACCACATTCATATGTTCCTGTTGTTGAGGGTCGTTTTGAGTTTTTTTTTAAATATATGTTTTCATCGGTATAACTAAAATTAAGGTCTAGGTATGATCATGTGTTCAGGAATCCCGAATGCTAAAGCTTATGGCTTATAGCATCTGAATTGTGGTTTTCTCAACCAGTTTGGTTGCTCAAAAGAAAATGGCAAGGTGAAGTACTGTAATTGATTGACGTACTCAACCATCTATGTACACTTTGAGGGACTCTATTTTTTGATCATGGTAAGTTGTTTGTTGGTCAGTTGAATCTACAATCCGGCATCCACCAGAATTTAGGGTCCACAAATCAAGGTGCTGTGATTTGCGCCAGCAGAGCCATAGATTACAGAATGTCTTATGACCGATTTGCTGACTACAGAAATCTTTTTGGTGCACTTCAGACATTCAAGCGGAATATGGTTGAAACAAATAATAAAGCATCATCAAAGCACGCATCTAAACAACTTGGCAAACTTGACCTGTGATTGCACAGCTGAAATTCTGAGCTCACGGAGGTTTGCCCCAGTGTGTGGGGACACACACATGCATGATGATACATGATTGCTTCTCCGAAAAGACCATCAACTAGTGGATCTTGGGTAGCCTCAAAACGGGATGGTTTAGAATAATGGTTGCAAAATCCAATTCCATAAACAGTGCAGTCATAAACCATCCCAGCAGCCAGAAAAGATCTCATAGTAAGAATTACACACCTTAGACCCACTTTCATAAACACCACCTAAGAAATTCTTATTGGGTTTACCACATTACCCAGCCGATCACAAGCGAATCTGTGGGCCGACTTGTCGCAGTCTCCCCGTTGGAACCATGCTTTTCCCGTCGCAGCAATCAATCATCCGAATACGTTTCTGGCGGGTCGACTTGTCAAGGTATCACCCCCAAAGACACCAGATATCATGGGAAAGGCAAACCCGACATAGTCATCATAGTGGTTCTTGAATCTCAGGGACACTTTACAGACTACCCATGATTGGGTTCGTAAAACTCTGGTTTCCTCCATGTCTTTCCCTACGGCCCCGCTATAGCTATATAAGGATCCTCCTATTAATCTTCGTAGGCTATCCCATGACTTTAACTCTATTTCTCACCCACACTAACCACACTGATGACACTATAATTACACTAACCACGCTTAGCCGTTAGGATTAGCATGGATTAGCGAAGAAAAAACTCAGCAAACCACAGGATCAACACGGCTCATGGCGTTGCTCAACTCGCAACTCACGAGTTGGAAGCCTCTTCAGGGCTCCCAGCCTGGCCGATTGAAAATCACTTTAGGTTTCAGAAATCATCGAAGCGACTGGTCCATTTATTCCATGTTATTCCATAGCTTCATTACGAGAGGGGCAAAGGTAAAATCATAGTTTTTAGTCATGAACTTCCCTGTCGCACGGCTGGGATTCACCCTAACAAAGGATGGGTTGCAACCCTGTTAAAAGTATCACACGTTTGGGCAACTTGCTAAATCTATAGGGGTAAATTGCTGCTATATGGTGATTTTCGGCTTCCGGCTTCTGCCGAAAATTCTTGGATGGACCATCGCACTTCTACCCCCAGAATGGGACGTGTCTTGGCTGTCCAGCCCTAGGTTTGGGGTTTAAATTTGCACACACCCAAAGTGGTCAATCTCAACCCTCTGTTTGCTGATGACCGTGTAATTATTCCCCTGGGTGGATTGAAACCCGCAAACATCGGCCGTAGCAATACGGCAACCGATGTTTCAGCTGGTGTTGTTCATAGTATGTTGAATCCATCTTGATTTGGGCGTTATTTGGCTTTGAGTAAAAACCCTGGTACCTTATAGGTACCCCGAAACAGCTGGTTCATAGATGTTTATGTTTTTACAAATATGGTAGTAATAGGTTTTGACCCATCCCCATGTCTTGGGTTTTCTAAAATAGGGCTACCCCAGTTCTGATGGATTTTCCATGAAATAAACCCTCCAGCTATTGAGGTACCCGATACACCAGCGTCCGGGCCTCACATCTTTCACATCAAGACCTGCCATCGTGCAAAAGATTGGAGCTGGACACCATTCGGAGAGTTGAAACATGTTGGTCTGTCTAGAAATGGGAGAGATACCGTTTCAAATGACCATATGTTATAGGAAAAGTATAGACAAATTGAGGTTCTCAGCATTTCTCAACTGTCAAACTTGGGGGTAGGGTTTCACGAGTTTCCCCTGATTTTTTTTCAGACAAACCCATCCGCCAAACCTGAAAACCCTAACGTTTTCAAACATGATACAGTTTTCCAACAGCATCATTTATGGTTTTCGGTGCTTTCTATGGTCGCTTTTTTTGTCTTTGGAGTCTCAGAAAATCACAGCAATGGTCCCCTTTCTGGGTCAATCACTTCCCCAATGGGTCCCATTGCAGGATCCCAAGAATGGTCCAATGGTCAGGTCTCATTGCGATTTCATCCCCGGATCATCCACCAAGGGAAATCTGGGTGATATCGGCGCCAAGATGATACCAAGGACGATATCGATTTCGCATTCTTTTTGGATTGCTGACTTCAAGCAAGAAACAACACGAACATATGTATATATATAATATGGAGTTATTTGAACAGGTACTCCAAAGCTTGATGTTTTTTCCCTAAAGAAAAACACTATACAACATGACACACTGATATCAACAACATGGACAAACTGATATCAACAACATGGATACAGCAGCCCATCTAGGCCTCCATTGACTTGCAGGGCTCTGTCGAACCGGTTCAATTTCCTTAGGACCCGCAGTAGGCAGCATGTGAAATCTGTTGTTTTTCTTCAGGGTTTATAAGGACTTATCAACCAGCAACATCCACTGGTAAGGGCGAGCATGATCGAGTGCTGTTGTGTCATAGGAGTCATGAGTTCTTCACCTTTTTATCATTCTTGTCATCAGCCGACCGCAGGAAACATTGATAGGGATTCCTCTAATGCAGTTATATTCCCCAATATACCCTCTGGTAAACATACAAAAAGCTATGGAAAATCACAATGTTCAATGGGTACAGTATATAAATCCACTATAAATGGCCATTTTCAATAGCAAACTGTTAGTTTACCAGAGGGTATGGTTACTGCAGCAAGTTCTCGGACGTCCATGTTCATTTGGCGTTCAAAGTAAGTAGGTACCGATCCCCTGTTCCATCATAAGCTTCCCATAGACTTGCATAGACTTGGCATGTGGTATGGGGGTATGGGATCCCTAAAGATTCCTTGGGTTCAAGGGATTTCAAGGGGCACCTCCAGCTATAAGTGCTGTGTTTGAAAACCCATTCAACTGGAGATACAGTATATCCATAAATCCAGCATTTATTGTAGTTCGAAACCAATCAGAAAGCTATCAAAACTATCATCATTGATGTGTGTAATATAAATATATCATAGGGAATAATGAATAATGAAATAATGAAATAATAATGATAGATAAATTGATGATCAATGTAATATTCATTGATATAACTCATCATTAGTGTAATATTTCATTTCCCTCTTTTGATGTTTTGATTCCCATTTCCCCTCAGGCTGTCACCACTCGCCGGAGTGGAGATGGAGATCGACCGAAGCGGGATGTTCCTGGGGGATTCGGACAAACCTTGATGGAAAATCACCAATTCTGATAGCTAACGAAATGGCTAAATCATGGTTACAAATGGGCCATGGCGTCCATAGCTATGTAACGAATAGTAAATAAGCCTGGTTAGTAAGTCCGTAAGTCCCCATTTCGTGGCTTATCCAATTTTATAAATAGGTGAGCTATAGCGAGCTAACGTTGCGTCAAAACCAGTTACGATCCATGGGATTATCCCCCCAAGTAGGATCGAACCAATGACTTAGATGCCATCTGGCTGCCATATGTTTGGGATGTTCACATGATTTGACCGCCAAACCATTGGGGGTCGATGGGATATTGGGGGACATATTAGGTGGCATATTAACCACCAACAACAATGGTTTAAAATGTGCCATGGTCAAGTTACACAGGATGTTTGTGAGGCTGGTTCATGAAATTGGTGCCCCAGTTCGTTAGCTAAGTTGGCCTACAAGTGACATGGTTGGGTTTATGGTAGATATGTTTGTTAAACTAGTTAATGGGGGTATAAACCAACTTTCAAACAAGGGGACAAACCCTTGTATCATATTGGCAATGCATTATGTTTCAATGGCTCAATTGTATAATCAATGGCTCAATCCAATCGAACTTTTAACCATGGCACATACAATATACAGAAATCCGGAGAATATATACATATATATATATATATGAAGGTTTCCAACAAAAAGGGGGTATCCCCAAATCATCCGTTACAATACGATTTTCCATTTTACATACACTAACCATCCCTTTTTAAGGGTACCTCCATTTTTGGAAAACCCCCAGGGCTGTGTCAACTCAGCATTTCCTCTTTCAAGATCCCCCACCTGGATCTGAGAGAAAGGATGTCGCCAGACCGCTCCCCTGGGATCCGGATCAAGCTGGCGCAGGGAATTTTTTGATCATGTTTTTGGGAAACCCATGGGTTTTCCACAGGTACACCACAGGTAAACGCTTACTCCAGGGTCACCACGAAACAAAAAAAACGATGGTTTCACATGGGATATGAGAGTTACTAGTGGGGATTTCTTTTTTGGGAGACAAGTTTCAAGAGATTAATTGGGTATGGTCTTCCATCCCCTAATGGGCATCCTTCTGTTGGCCAATAGAATTCACTATTGGTGATGGTATGACCATCCCTGAATATAGGCACACAATCCAGCTTTGACCATGACACAATATGACACAATATGGGTTTGACTCAAATAGGGTTTAGAACATCGTTCCCTATAAAAATCACCATTTTGAGGGTATGCCCGATTTCCAAACACCCATGTCCAAAAATCCTCTACGAACGGAGAATATAGAACATGTTGGAGAATCATCTATGGACAGGATATAAATGGGGATAAACGAATTTGCCACGTCCCATCATATACACCTCCTATACTTGGGGGTGCAATTGAGGTTGCAGATGGGTACATAACCATATTAGTATATACCATAATATATACCATAATTATAGGGGCCATAACCACAATATATAACATTATATGTATATATATGTATATATATGTAAGTAACCATAGTTATAGGGGTTATATCATGGTTGTATCAGATATAACTTATATCATGTCAAAAATCCATGTCAAAAATCCAACTGAAACATGGGACTGAAGAACTCCCACAGGTCCCCGGGCCGAGTCCAAACCTCGGAGTGCTGGACGTCATACCCTCGGACGTAAACATATCCCCACTGGATGAAATTTGGGATGAAATATGGATTACCCTCTGGTAATTTAACATAGCTATTGAACATGGCCATTGAAATAGTGAGTGTTCCCATTAAAAAATGTGATTTTCCATAGCTTTTTGTATGTTTACCAGAGGGTATAAACCACAGATCCTAAGTGGGATGCAACCAAATCCAAAATGGACAGTCGCAATGGTTGGCTGCCAGGAGATGTTCGCCCTTTCTCAAAGGAAGCATCACTGTGTCCATATCAAATCGATCTACACCTCATCAACAACCAGAAATACAGGAAATACCGTCCAGTATCCTCTAGTTATTCAGGGTAGCTCTGGAAAATGGTCCATTTATTCCATTTATTATCTGATAAACAGATATAAACAGATATAAAAAGGAAGTAAGTTCATGTAAGTTCATCTGGTTGGTGGTATACCTACCCCTCTGAAAAATATGAGTTCGTCAGTTGGGGTTACGACATTCCCAATAGATGGATCAATAAAATTCATGTTCCAGTCACCACCAACCAGTGATTATTAACCATTAACCATCATTAACCACTATAAAAATGGTATATAATCCCATGAAATAAAGATGATTATCCCATTAATCAAAAAAAAAAGTTAGAAGTGATAAAGTCCTGGAAAATCACCATTTTTCAAAGGTAATCCATCTATTTCGATTAGGGAAAGCATCATCCTGCTGGTTCCAGCCCGCCCTCCAGCCCGCCCTCCAGCCCTTGGGGACCCTTGGGGCGGCCTGGGACCCTTGGAATCGTTGGAATCCTGGCGAAATGGAGATCTTGGAGGTCATAGATCGAAACATGGATGGCTTGAAATAGATGTATATATAATATATTATATATACATATTATATATATAGATACATATTATATATATACTATATATTTATATAATATGTATATATATATATAATATGTATATATATATATAATATGTATATATATATAATATGTATATATATATATATAATATGTATATATATATATAATATGTATTTTTTGTAATATGTATTTTTTGTAATATATATAATACGTATATATAATATTATATAATATATATATATATTATGTATATATTCTATTTATATATATACGTATTATACATTATATATATATTTATTATGTATATATTATATATATACGTATTATACATATTATATATATATTATAATACATATATATATAATATGTATATCATATAATATTAATATATCTAAGAAAACATGGATGGGTTGAAACGGAGATTTGAGATGGCTTTTTTTGTCACATGATTCACCAAAAAAAACATGAAAATCCAAAGATGTCGCTGTTGGATTCGACTGGTGCAGGGGGGATACCCTCTATGGATATGACTGGGGGACGGCTCCATCATTGATGTCCTCCGGAAAACATCGATGGCCTAGTGACCATTTTTGGAGTCAAGCAAGTAAGCAAGATAATACAAAAGGCAACACCCGGCCACCCGGTGATGATGAGATATAATATAACCAGTCAATAAAACGTAAGAAACAGGAGACACCATTTACCTTCATTACCTGGAATGGTTCTGGAAAGAGGAGGGATGTTTTCATCATCAAGCAACCCGTGGGAAAGTCTTTGTTGCAAGACATGCATGAAAATAAAGCATTCCTCAACAAGATCTGGGCAATGATAAGTCACCATTCCCCCCAAAACAATTGTCATTATTGAGTTCACTCAGTTGACTCAGTGTGAGTTGAGTAGCGCAACTGTTACAAAGCAACGCGTGGCGAGATCGTTTCAAGTCGCTAGACACCTTACCCAAATCACAAGTTGTTGATTTGACATGGTTTGCCAATAGAAATGATCAACATCTGTGGACTGCAGAAACTTCCTGTCTGACCCATACTCATACTCGATCATAAGATCTACTAACATCTACTACTTCTATCTCATGATTTGGGTACGTATACTCCATTGTCTGTTGCTTGCAAATCATAATCTGGAATTGCAAGAAAACGACTTAACAAGGACCTTTTCAGGAAAAGCCACAGAGTGTGTCGGGAAAGAAAGCTGGATCCACATGTTTCAGACTTAATTTGCGTTCCCCATTTTTGTTTGTTTAAACTGTTGAAACCCCCATGTTTCATGATTGAGAGACCATAGAATACCTATTTCCCATGAAGAACCTACGGCACGCCAGTGGGGTCCTCGCAAGCGGCTCCCGAATCATCCGGGGTGAGGTGAACCTGCGATTCGGAACCGGCGCCCAGAGGTTGGAAGTGGTTTGTACAGGATGGGGCCCGCGTTCGATAGCCAAGTTGCCTTATAAGTGTGGCTTAACATTGCTGAATTCTATGCTTTATGGTAGATATAACTATAGTTAATGGGGTTTATAAACCAACTTGTAACTAGGGGGCACCATCCTGTAGCCCCTTTAAGTATATAGGGTATGGGGGGTTCCTACAATGGGAAACCCCCAAATAGCTGAAAATTGTTTATTTCATGGAATTCCCATATAAAAATGGATGATGACTGAGGGTACCATGGATTGGAAACCTCCAAATAAAAATATGGTCCGGTTGTAAACCACTGACAAGCTGGAATGCACCCCTAAGCATGTCTCTGGTTCCAGTGCCACAGTGAAACATCATCCCTATGTGTTAATGGTGGTTTCAATGCCTCTAGTTACATGCTCGGCATTGGGGATCATCAAAAAAAGGTTGACAGAAACAGGAATCGACCAATAGAATGGCATTACTCTACCCAGTACCCTCTGGTAAACTAACATAACTTGCGAACTGGAATTCATCACAATGTTTAAGTTCGGTAAATCATCTATAAATGGCAATCTTCAATATGAAACTGTCAGTCATTACCAGAGGGTAAATGTTGGGATGGAAATGGATGAAGCACTATTTCTTTGTGAAAAACAGCCAAAATTGAAGGATTTTGCCAGCGAACCTACTAAGATTGTGGGGTAGGAAACAACAATGATGGGCGTCAAACAAGCAAATTAGAGGATTTAACAATTTATATATCGTAATCAAACATGGCGTGGTGCAAATCCATTCTTATGATATCATTCTTGTGAAAGTTGTGGCTTACCTGCATCTTTTGATGTTTGACTTTCAATTCATATTATCCGATTATGCCTGTTATATTAATCATTTATTGTTCATTACATATATATCATATATCCCATAATCATATATCATGATGATAGTGAAATATCTCATATCAAATCCATTAACATCATTCATTAATCCCAGTGTTATGGAATATAATACAAGTGTTATATACATATTAACTGTGTTATTCATATATTAATATTGATATAATCATATATAATCCATATAATCCCAGTATTTTATATGATTTATATGTCTTTGTTCATGTCCACTGCCCGGTTCGATGATTGAAACCACCTCCAAGTCCAAGTCATCCCAACGTCGATGCAAAACACGACGTTTTACCACGTCCGCCAGGAATGTGGCTGTTTTTTTCTTGGGAAAAATGGTTATAGTCATATACTAATGGAATATAGTCTAATATAGTCATATATATGATAAACCATTAGTATATAGGGAAATGTTTTTTTCTTGGGAAATCATAGGAAATCATAGGAATATAGTTTATATATCCCTATACTATACATACATCCCTCAATAGTTTTTTCTTGGGAAATCATAGGAATGTAGTGGGGATATAATGAGAATTATAACGGGGATGCAATAGGAATAGACTCGGGATAGGATGAACATTTGGGATAAAACTGGGCATACATGGGGATAAAAGCACGATGATGGGGAGATGAAACCAAGCTCAACGTCCCCATCTCAGCAATGTAGCCAACATCTAGAATCGAGATTTTTCTAGGACTCTAGAATTTGCAAAGATCAGCTGCTTCATCTGACATCTTAAGACCCTAAAGTGAACCAGCCACACGGGCCCCCACCTGCCAAAGTCTGTTCGCCGGGACGCCTTGGGCATTCTGGCTTGCTGGAAGATGTTCCATTTGTAGATGATTTTCCTATAATAATAGCAGTAATAGTGATAATATGATAATATGATGTTATGACTGTTACCCTCCAGTAAACTAACATAACTATGGAAAGTCACCATTGTTAAAAAAAAAAATCTATAATTTGGTCGGGTTGGAGCAACCGAGCAACCCCAAAAAAAATGTGGGTTAAGCCCCAAGGGTTTCGATAAGGTGGGTAGTTTAACTATGTAGTTACCCTTTGGTAAACTAATATAGCGAACTGGAAAATCACCATTTTTAATGGGTAAATCCACTATAAATGGCCATTGTCAATAGCAAACTGTTTGTTTACCAGAGGGTATAGGGGGAAGGTTTGCTCCATGAAAGTCTCGTTTGTCCCCCCAGAATCATCATCCAAAATAGCACGGAACCATGGTGAAACATCTCAGATAAACAACCATTCGAAGATCCCCATTTAATCATATGCGCTGCTCACATTCCCATCAAGCTGACACCTGCCGCAAATAGGTGTGTATATATATATATATGCATATTGTTCATTATAGTTCTATACATATGTATAATCATTATTACTATCATGGCAGTAATATTCTGTTTATGTGTATACCTGGTAAACCGTAAGTATACAAAAGTTTAGTCATTTCACGAAAAACAATGTTTTTTTCAAACAATGCCTCTTTGGGTAGACAACTGCACAAAAAATACTTGTTACTGATTTTTTTAATATTGATGGAATTGTGTCATATAAGTATGCGTGATGAGGTGTTTGGTCAGGAATTTACGTGTTTTCACTGAAAATCAGCCCATGCCTAAAATTATGCATAGTTGGGCTTTCTAGGTAGTCATTGTCATTATTTCATGTATTTATTCATTTTTGTATCATTCCATATCGTTCCTATTACAACAACATAATAACATATTAATGTAAATGGTGTAAAACCCTATGGTTTGCTGCTGAGTTTTCTTATCTCCACGAGTTATCTCTTCATCTGGGCTTCGGCACCGGGGTGGACGTGGAACCACGGCGAGACTCGGGGCTCCTGAAAAATGGCAGAGGCACCCAGGTGCTGGGCTTTGGTCTTTCTACAAGGGCGGGTCCCATAGTTATAACTTCAAGCCATCTAACTACAGTCATATGATGGTATATGATGTTATATGATGTTCTATGATGTTTTATGATGTTATATGATGTTATATGATGTTATATGATGTTATATGTACGGGTACCATAAACCATATAGATTTGATCTAGTTTGAAGCAACTTAGCTATCTATGAGGGGCCCACTACCCCCATCCATGACCAACCAGACCCCCTGGCCTCAACATTCGTGCTTCATGTCTTCGCACCACGCTGTCCATTCCCTGACGGACTCAGCGGTGACGACGGCTGGGGGATTGTAAGCAAGAAATATCCCAAATGGGGGTGATCTTCCGGTAGTCAACCATGATCAAACATGGCAAGCTAGGAAATCAACTATAAATATCTATAAATCCCCTATCAATGGGCATTTAGATTGGAAAGTCATCTGCAAATTTTAGATTTTCCAGCAAGCCATGTTTGATTTCCGATTAATTCACCCCAAGCCCAAAACTGTATATTTAGATAGCACCTACCTGCAAGAATAGGAAAATAGAGCCTTTAAAAAATACTGCACGGATAGATGGATGGATGGATGGATGGATGGATGGATGGATAGATAGATAGATACATACATAGAAATCCACCCAAAAAAGAAGCAGACAAATAACATTGTGACAAATCATGTTTCTTTCTTTTTGGGTGTTATTCTAGCTGATTTAGTCGATATTTAAACTAGCAATGAGTAGAAATGTGGTTTCAACATGTTTCAACATGTTTCAACATACCCAAAATTCAAAAGGCTGGTTGGTTTGAACATGTTTGAACGGCGAATTACTAGGCGTGACCACGAGCCGCGGACACCATGGATATGGTTTTCCTAGACCGAGACCTTCACAGATTCGGTGAATCACTTGGCGAGATCTTCAGATTCACCAATTCTGGTGGTGCAATAACCATCTTGAAAAATATGAGTTCGTCAATGGGAAGTATTATCCCATATATGAAATGGACAATTCCAAAAATATTTGAAACCACCAAGCAGAATTCCTTTTTTTTCCACAGGAAGTTTTGCATATAGCCAGGTTTGAACATGTTTGAGCATGTTTGAACCCCCGAGCCATCAGTTTGATCTGCCTGAGCCAAGTACTTGTGCTTTGCAAGTTCTCCTTAGTGGCGCCGAGGTAGGATCTATGGCAGATGCCGTGCCTACAAAGCACTTAGGGCCTTTAAGACTTAAGAAAATATCTATATGTGGAAATTATGATCATAACCCCTCTTGAAATAGATTCTTAAGCATCAAGAGCGTGTTGGAAGGTACTTGAAGAAGTCAAGAGCGTAGCAGCAAGAGCGTGCTGGAAGGTACATGAAGAAGTGAAGAGTGTAGCATCAAGAGCGTGTTGGAAGGCACTTGAAGAAGTCAAGAGCGTAGCATCAACAGCGTGTTGGAAGGTACTTGAAGAAATCAAGAGCGTAGCAGCAAGAGCATGTTGGAAGGTACTTCAAGAAGTGAAGAGCATAGCAGCAAGAGCGCGTTGGCAGGTACTTGAAGAAATCAAGAGCGTACCAGCAAGAGCGTGTTGGAAAGTACTTGAAGAAGTGAAGAGTGTAGCATCAAGAGCCTGTTAGAAGCAGTGTGAACAAGACGTTATTACCCACCACACCCCACCCCACCCCACAAGAAGTGAAGAGCGTAGCAGCAAGAGCATGTTAGAAGCAGTGTGAACGAGACGTTATTACCCACCACACCCCACCCAACCCCACCCAACAGGCACGAAAGCACACGAAAGCTGGCGGCAGTCTAAAAGCCGCCCAGCCAAAATCACATGAAACTCGATTAAAATCCCATGAATCTATTAAAAACCTATTAAACTCCATTAAAATCCCATATAACTCCATTGAAATCCCATTGAAATCCCATGAAACTCCATTGAAATCCCATGAAACTCCATTCAAATCACATGAAACTGCATTGAAATCCCGTGAAACTCCTATAAAATCTGAAGCCGGGTCAAACAAAGCCAGAAACCCTGCTTTTTTTTTTTTAGCCAAGGGTCGGGTCAGCTCTTTGGTATCCGCCAGCATGGCATCCATGCGCCTGGAATCACCATGGTATCCATCAAACTTTAATTCACTGGATTGGTTTAAGGGAAATCTACAGGAAACCATGGTTTTTACCAACAAATATAGGGCTTTCCTGTAAATTGTCCCATCATCCAATTCTATGATTAATGGATTTTTAAGTTTATCTAATCAGGTGCTTAGCAGGGAATGGGTGGGAATGGGGGTTGCTGGGATGATTCTTACTAGTGATTATGGATCATTCCCTCATTCCCTACTAAGCACTAGTAAGTAATGTTAAACATTATAATTATTCCCATTATATATCCCCATTATATATCCCCAATATATATATCCCCAATATTTATATATATATATATATATGTGTATCCCCAAATTGATGTTGATGGGATGTTAATGGGAGTTTCATGGAAGTTTAAAGCGATTGAAAATGGGATGTTGGCGGGATTTCATAGGAATTCATGGGATGCACTGTTATGGGATGAACATTGATTGAGTATGATTAAATGCTACTTAATAGCATTTGCCCATTTTTGTGGGATGCTTCCATGGTGAAATCGTGATGATGAACATGTCAATGTTTGGTAATGATGTTACTGATGCTGATGATGAAAATCTAAAGGTTGATTAATTTATGATGTTAATGATGATGAAGATGAATTAATGGATAACGATCAAAGGTTGATGAAAATCCAGCAAAACTCATTTGCCATCAATTGTTTCATGTGGTTAATGATGAACATGTGATGAACATGTAAATGATTTTTGTGTCATTTGTTTCACAAATAATCTGATCGATTGAACACTATGTTGCCAACATTTAACAATCCAAAATAGGGTCGTTTTTCATATGTTCATATGGAAACATGGGAATATTCAAGGAACCAGCATGAGGCGGATATCATGAGGAGATTACAAAGAGATTTCATAGAATTTCAGCCATCAAACATGGTGATTTCATCGTGATTTCACCAGTGGTTTCATCGTGATGTCACTTCAGAATATTGGGGATGTTACCTGTGAAAATTGGAAAAGAAATGCAAAATTACCAATCAGCCAATCAGCTAAACAAGTCGGGTCCAAGAAGTTTAATAAACCATTCCAGGTGTGCTCTGAAGATTACATACAATATCTCAAACATGGTGTCAGAAGAGGGAGTCCACTACGGTTACCACCATCTAACTTTAAAGCAAAAATCGCACAGTGGGATTTTCCCTCGTAAGCATGATAAATCAAGAAATGAAACCAGGATGCTAGCCAGGCAAGGTACCTGAAATTTATACGTTGTTCATCCAGTGGACAGTCCAAATTGATGAGACATGAAAAAAAATATGTATAATTATAGTGTATGATGATGTCTGTATGCCTGACGTGGCTTCATGTTCAACTTTATAACTTTATAATTTATAAGAATTTTGGGACTTCGACATTGGGAGTCCAAACAGAATCACTGGTCAAATGCTTCAGCAATGTGCTCACCATTCTCATACTGAAACATCCTGAAACCATGTTTTTCCTGTTTTACCATGGTTTTATCTACTGTACGCTTACCCTCTAGTAATTTAACATAGTTGAACATGGCCCATGTGTAGATGATGTACCTAAAAAAAAACACATAGTTATGTTAACTTATCAGAACGTATCTAGATTCCCTGCAAAACTTCATTGTTGGCTAGCTAACTAGGCTAAAATGGAAGCCATAATAAAACCGAGGTTGAACCCAGAAACCAATGCATATTACAATATGCAGTGTAACAGTTTGGTGGGTCTCAAGTGGGTCCACGAATTTCAAAAAGAATTGCTATCTAGAGACCATAACATCCCAACTAAAACGGGTATGATGTCTGTATGCATATGTATGTGTGTGTATGACATCCTATTCAAATTCAATATTAAGCGTTTGGAAGCAACATCTTTCTGCTGTGGCAAATAAACATATCCAAATGTCTTTTGGGTACCCAGTGGTAAAGAATACGTAGGCGCCTCAAACCATCTCTGCAACGTCTTTCGCTGTCCTCAGTCGCCGGCAAGGCTAAAGAGTAATCATGTCGTCTAATGTGGTAAGGCCAAATAATGTGTCCTTTTGTTGCATGTTGGGGTGGTTGAGTACCCCGAAGAAGGGCAAGATCGGGTAAATGGGCTAGGGTTTGTTATTGGTTTTACCACTTTATGCATCTATCTACACCTGCATATTTCATCATATTTCATGTATGTAAAACAATCTCACATTTTCGCACTCATCTCACCTGGTTGGTGGTTTTAACCATCTTGAAAAATATTAGTCAATGGGAAGGATTATCCCATATAGTATGGAAAATAAAAAATGTTCCAAACCACCAACCAGTCACTATATACAAGACACATATGTGTAGTATACACAGCACCCAGGCTTGACAGCTTCTTTTCGGGTCGCTGAGGTCAGAGGAAAAAAAACGCACAAAAAACACGGATTTACCATGCAGAGAATTATCGTTTTATTGGAGGATTTTCCAACCAACTATAGTATACTAGTTATATGAATGTTATATGGATATCTCAATTGTCTCTCAACTTGTAGGCATATTCGAAAGTCCAAATTGTTGGTGATCGTACCAGTATTTGCCACTATTTACCAAGTAAATCTATCCAACACAAATACGTAGGTGATCGGCAAAAGCATTGTGCTTGTGACAAATTAGGTGCAGTAATTAACTACCCAAGTTCCATCGGCAAAAAATGGCTATTGCAGCATTGGAGAATCAGGGAGGTTATGCAGCTGTGAAATTGGCAGGGCATGTTTCCATTATTGGGTCGGATGAGCCACGTATAGATGCGTCATCTACTAATGCCCTTGCCATTGTTCCTGTGATGGTTGTCTACATCCTGAATTATTGTTTCTACTTCCCCAGGGTTCTAACTTGATCCACTTGGTTGCTGGCTATTTCAACAAAACTATAAGAATACCAATAAGAAAGAAATCATCACAATAGTACTACTACTAATAATAATATGATACTATGTCAATTTTGATTATAAAACAATATGTTTCATAAATGTTTGTAATCATAATAGTCGGTCTATTAATTACTACTTTTATTTTGGTCTATTATTATTGATTATCGAACATGATTATGATGACTATTATAGTCATTGATGATAAATTACATTGTTTTTTTAAAAAAACCAATACTTGGTCATCTATTACCTATTATTCACGGATGACTGCATTCAATATACGACTGTCATCAATGGAGCCTTCTTCATAATCATGGAGGTGTAGTTTGTATGCGTACACCAATGAATTACAATTGATTATAAATATACCCCGTTTAGTTCGTTGATTTACCTATTCAAAATGGTGATTGTCTATAGCTATGCTAGTTTACCAGAGGGTAAACAACTATGATAAATTAATTCACAACGTTTCCGCTGAGACCGACCAAAACCGCTGAGGCTTTCACGGAGAGCGCCTCCAACGCAGACTCCTCGGCCATCTTCGCCGCATGCGCCTACAGTTCAACCGATCTGTAGCCTGGAAATGCCAATTTTTAAACCAAGAAAAATTGTGACTTAACGGGAGTTAACCCTGAATTAACGTGAGTTAATGTGAGTTAACAACTCAACAAATGCTGCGATAATGTGAGTTGATCAACAAACATGTGGGTTTAACCACTAAGCATGCTGTCTTGACAACGAAACAAATGTGATTTAAGCACTAGACATGCCAAAAAATATAATGTATATAGTGGAGTTGTGAATATGTACGTATAATACATACATACATATACAAATATATATATATATATATATATATATATGTGTGTATGTACATATACAGATATATATATATATATATGCATATGCATATATATGTATATATGTACATATATATATATATATGTATGTATGTATGTATGTATTAGGTTGCTGTTGAATCATGACTATATAGTTGTAACAAAACCTACAATGTGTATATATATATATATATTCGATTGGGACTCAAGCATCAATCATTAATGGGAATCTACAGTCAGTTGAATGGGCTCATAGGTGTGTAAAGGGAGGGCAGCATTGAAAGCTGTGTATTTCACCAGCAAAAAAGGGGGGATATACAGGACATGGGACATGAAAAAATGGCCGTGCCCACCTGGGAAGTGGGTAATGTAATGTAATGTATCTATGTGTACCGTTCACGTGTTTGCCATACAGGTCAACCCTGAATGTGAGGTTTGCGTCGAAATCATGTTTGAGACAAAAAAACATGTCAAGGTGTGTTTCTCAACCCTTCAAGTTGGGCGACAACAGTGTTGTGGCAGGTATAAACAGAAACAACTGCTGCCGTGGTCTCATGGTTCATGCTTCAAGGGGGCTTGGATTTCCCTCCAATCCCATTCTATAGTGGAGCCAAAACAACAAAAAGGAGTTTGACCACAGAAAATGATGTTGACCCACAGAAACGTGGAAAAATCGCACATGACCCGCAGAAACGTGGAAAAATCGCACACGACCCACAGAAACGTGGAAAAATCGCACGAACATTTTCCATTCTGTGACCCGGAAAAAAGATGAGAAGAGGATTCGACCAACAAAATCCTGAAGTAAACTTCACTCTCCACCGGAAAAATGCCACAGTCGGCAGCCAGTTCGGTGTCGTCACCCCTCCTGTGCTCGAGCTGCGTTCATCTCAACTTCCATTTGGGCCTGGGAAAATCTGGGAATTGGCCACGCCACGGCGCACCAAAAACAGACGACCACACTGGTAAACATACAAAAAACTATGGAAAATCACAATTTATAATGGGACAACTCACTATAAATGACCATTTTCCATAGCTATGTTAGTTTATTAGAGGGTACTACACAAAAAGAAAATCCGCCACTTCTTAGTCACTACGTGGATTGATTAGACTTTATTTCGTGCCTTTTCGAAACTCAAAGCTACCCTTTGGACCAGTCCTTTGTTCCTGGGAGTTCCGGGGGCTACCCCGAAGATACGGATTTCCCAATAAGATGATCTTTGTTGGATGATTTTTGGGTCCATAAAACCACCCACATGGAAACACCACCGGATGCCAAATTTGCACAATTCGAGATGTGGAAACGTCCAAAACACCAAATGTTGGTGCACAGTTGGTGGCACCAGGGTCCCCCAGGTCCCCCAACCGTTTTTCGGTGCAATTCCAACTCTGTTGGCCTTTGAAAAAATTGGAAACCAAACCGAAACGTGTCTCGATTGGAAGGGAAAAACATGGAAAAATTATGAAAAATGACTTATGAATCAGAAACGAGAAACTAAATATTACCATGAACCAACGCTGAAACGATTTCAAGTGACAGTTACTACATATTTTGAGCAACAACGGTTAGCATTTGGAAAAACAAAATTGGTCATCCCGATCCTCATCATTCCAATATTTTTTTGCGATCGATGTATTGTTTCCATCAACAAATAGATAAGTGCTGTATAGGCAAAACATGTGAGTAGAGTGTTCGTCCTGAAACGGAATTTATGTAAATTTTATCTTAGTTTTTTATGCCTCCGTTTCGTCCTGTTTTTCATGTTTTTCCTGTCCTCCTGTGTTCACCTCTTCACTGTTTCATGTCACACCGCTCTACATAGAACATGCCGCTGCACAATCAGAACGATTATGTGCATGTGTATTTTCATATGTTCGGCCAAGAAACACATGCATGTCACCCGTAAGTCATCCAATTAGGTCCCAAGGTCCAAGAAAAGTCCCTCACATTCACCTTGCATGTTGTGTTGCCTCTCCCAGCGCCTTGGTTGGGCGACTGGAGGAGAAGTCCCTGCCGGCGCCTCAAAAAGAAAAATGCTAGCAGGCAATGTCAATCCTTGATGGAGACGGGCGAACCATTCCCAAACAATGTCCTGCGGCCACCTAATTTAAAATTTATTTTTGGGTTTGGACACATATCCAATAAATTCGTCGCGCCTTGGATCGCGGGAGGTATGATATTGAAACTTAACCGCCTCATATACAACAATTATGTTGACCCACGATGGTAAGTTACTTAGATAGTAAGATAGTTAGGTAGTTAGATAGCTGATAGTTAGATGGGTAGGAAGATAGATATTAGATAGAGATTTGCAGACCGAAAAACATATGCATATAGGTTTAGATATAGAGATATATAGATTTAGATATAGATATAGATAAATAATGATAACGGTAACTAAAGATAGGTAGACAGATTAAAAAATAGACAGATACATAGCTAGATAGAAAAATAGATAGAAAGAAAGATAGAAACAAAGAAAGAAAGAAAGAAAGAAAAAAAGAAAGACAGATGAGATGAGATGAGATAAGATGAGAAGAGATGAGATGAGATAAGAGAAGAGAGGATAAGATAGATCGACAGATAGATAGATAGATAGATAGAAAGATAGATAGAAAGATAGAAAAATAGAGAAATATAGATAGATAGATACATAGAAAGAAAGATAGATAGATAGAAAGATTAGATAGAGTAGATGAGACACCAGCGCGTCGCGCCATGGCTGACCTTTGTGCTGACGCTGATCTTTGCTCAAGGAACAAGGCTCCCCGCCACAGTTTCCAAACCACCTAGTGCTCCACACAAGCATGTTCTATTTTGCATCAGTGCCAAATCTACTCAACGAAGTGTTGCTCAAGGAGGGCATGGCAAGTTTGACTGTAAGGAAAGCGTTAGAGTCTGCGCGCCCATGTTCAATCAAGATGGTGGAGGGTGCAAACGGGCGCTGTTCTTTCAATAGCTGCCGAAACCGACACATTCTTGTGTTAGCCAGTTGGAAATGGGAGCCACAAAGGGGTTGGCGGCGACGCTCATGTCTTGAAGCACCTTGGTGCTTCCTTTGGATTGTGGCACCCTGATATTTGTCAGATGCAATTGCTGCAATTTGCTATGGTGCAGCTCGAACTCATGTGGGCCAAGCACAGTCACTCCATGGCACGAGTACATCCATAACAACTATGTATATTTATATATATATATACATAGGAGAAGTGTCCCTACATACCTATACTCACAGTCGATATACACAGCTGCATATCCATAATATACCGTTGCCTGGTCATTCTCAGCCAGGAATTTTCGGTGCGTACAAAGGTACGATTGAGTAGGGTACTAGCTGGGAGGACAATTGATAGAAACGAGTACAGAAAAGTAAGAAAAATGCAAGGCAGTAAACTGACTTGTTTATATACTTCGAGTGATCCCCACCGTGGCAACTTACTTACAATTCCTATTTTCGGACATCCCTCTGGAAGTATATGTGGCGTGTATTTTCTAACATTCTATTTTCGCATTCTACCTGACATTCTATTCTGGTATTCTATCTATAGAATCTATCCTGACATCCTATATATCTGGCATCCTGTCTGGCACCTATTCTGGCATTCTACCTGGCATCTATACTGACATTCTATTCTGCTCTTCTATCTGGCATTCGTGCTGGCATTCTTTCTGGCATCTATTCTGGCATTCATTCTGTCATCTATTCTGGCATTCATTTTAGCAATCTTTCTGGTTATGATGTTGAGATGTTGCTATTTCTATTCGTTCTATAAATATTTATTTTTTGGAAAAATAAGAAAAATAGGATTCAGAAATAGGAAACAAATAGGGTTCCAAAACTCAAATAAGAAAAAAAAGGACTGCCAAACCAAGATGAACCACAGCTTCACATTTGGGAACAACACCAACACAAAACACAAGCAGAGCCTTCCACATTTTATGAGGAATGTCACTGTGGATATATGTGGGTCCACTGCCAACCTGCGTATGGTGTTGCATCTATACATGTAAATGTTTGGATATGTCCCATGCGTGTATGTAAGTAATTGCAATTGCTGCTGCTGCGTTCGCAATTGGAAAAGGAAAGGAGCCGAAAGCAGACATTGAATCTTGAAGGCACCACCTGCTTGGGGGAGCTGGCTAAACGATTGAAAGAATGAGCCAATAACTTGTGAACTGCGTGACGTTCGGCGCGTCCCAAATTCAGCAATAAGCGTGGCGCTCCCACACCCCTTTCCTCCTCCCCCCCGCTTCCTCCCCCTCCTCTCCCCACCCCTATTTTTTCTTATGTTTTTCCTATTTTTCCCTATTTTTGAATTCTATGTTTTTCCTAATTTTCTAAAGATGGGCTAGCTAGTTTTTCCTATTTTCCTATTTTTTTCGAAGTTTTTTACGTTTTTTGACGGTTTTGGGAGCCGAATTCAAAAGAAGGAAAAAAAGGAAAAAAATAGGAACAAAAAAGAGAAAACAAAAATTAGTATGGTGCTGGAAGCAGATGTTCAGAAATAGGAAAAAATAGGAAAAATTAGGAAAAACGGATTCAAAAATAGGAAAAAAATAGGGTCCAAAAATGCAAATAGGAATAAAATTGGAAAAAATAGGAAAACAAATATACTGGGAAGTGCTTTGTAGTCCTGTGTCAAGTCTGTTTTTATGTCCTATTTTTTCCCTATTTTTGATTCCTATTTTCCTATTTTTCCCTAAAATAAATATTTTCAACTTTTGTAGAAATAGGAGAAAACTTTGCATCATAACTTTCTGGCATTCTCTCTGACGTTCTATTCTCGCATTCAGTCTGGCATCTATTCTGCAATACTCTCCGACATGGGCACTGCCGTACCGCAAGCGCCAGTGCTCATTAAGATCTCGCGCTCGCAGTTGAAGACCCACAGTGCCCGCTGATATCTGGAGCTCGCAGTTGAGGTCCGGCAGTGCCCACTGAGATCTGGAGCTCGCAGTTGAGGTCCGGCAGTGCCCACTGAGATCTGAGGTCCGGCTGAGGTCCGGCAGTGCCCACTGAGATCTGAGGTCCGGCAGTGCCCACTGAGATCTGGAGCTCGCAGTTGAGGTCCGGCAGTGCCCACTGTGATCTGGAGTTCGCAGTGGAGGTCCGGAAGTGCGAACCGGATCTGCAGTTCACTGTTGGGGGAAGGAGGAAGGAGAAAGGATGAAGGAGGACATAACTCTGATAAAATCTAGAGACCCTGTTTTTTTATGTTTTCTATGTGTGTCTATTTTCCTGTGGTGTCCTATATATATACGTTCTTTTGTTTTATCACGTTTTTGCCGTATTCTTGAACCCGTGTCTCTTTAAGTGTGTTTATTTCATTGTTTTAAAGACAATCCGAAACCTACTGTTGTTTTGAATGCTTGAATATATATATATATATATAATTAAATATCTATATACACATATATGTACATGTATATATATATATATAATCCTATATATATATATACACGTTTGCTTATGTGTCCTCAGGTGTTCATATGCTTGGTAGTTTTTTCATGTTGTTGTCCTGTTTTCATATTATGTTTCTCTCATGTTTTACCTGCATTTATCCTTGCCTGACCGGGTGCCTCAAGCTCATGAGCGAAGGTACATCTCATGTTCACAAGAGGGAGGAGGAGAAAGAAAAAGAGAAAGAGAAAGAGAAGAGAGAGAGAGAGAGAGAAAGAGAAAGAGAAAGAGAAGAGAGAGAGAGAGAGAGAGAGAGAGAGAAAAGAGAAGAGAAAGAGAAAGAGAAGAGAAAGAGAAAGAGAGAGAGAAAGAGAAAGAGAAAGAGAAAGAGAAAGAGAAGAGAGAGAGGGAGAGAGGGAGAGCATCATTGGAGATATTACCCGTTGGGAAACCTGTTGTAAGGTTGGAGAGGAACGAATATGCTGTCCAGATATCAAGGACATAAAGCTGACAGTCCTATCGTCATTATGGGTTTTGAAGCAAGCCATCTTCAATCTTCACCTCTGGATTTGACAAAAACCAAAGACAGGCTTTCAATCTTTAGATTTCTGTTCATTTCAGTTTTCAGATACCCTCCAGTAATAAACCATGGCAATGGAAATTCCACCATTTGTCAATTATGTTCCCATTGCAGTAAAGCCTCTACTTGTAATGGATTTCCCATTGCCATGTTTGTTTGCTGGGAGGTATTCATAGAATCAAAGCGACACGATACAAACTCCATTCTATCCTATGGTTTAGGACGTGATTTTCCAAAATCTTTGTTGGGCAAAAAAATATAGTATATATATATGTATATATTATGTATTGAAATTATATTTCATTTACATTATTATAGTATATGTAATATATATTTATATTTAATGATATGATACTATAGTATATTACATTATATCATATTATATTATCTTATGCTATATTATATTAAATTAAATTGAATTATATTATACTGTATCATATTATATCAAATTATATTGTATATTATATATATTAAATAATATATATATATAATATACATATATATATATATATATATTATATATATTATATTAAATATTGAATTATACAGTATTACATTATAAATTATATTAAATTTTAGTATGAAATTAAACTAAAAATACTGTATTTTATATTCATTCTTGGTAAATCCTTAGTTTTGGGGCACATCTACACAGCGAAATCATATTTACATGTGGTTTCACCGTTGTTCTCCACCCGCTTTCAGACACGCCCATGAAAAACTTGCCCCACAATGTACCTATTAATGTTGTTGAAAAAAAAGTGTCCTAGTTGGATTGATGCAAAGGACATGGTTTTTGGGAAACCATGGTTAGACTAGATGTTTTTAGATAATTATTCCAAATTGATTGGGATTCCAGAGATTAGCCTTTTACCTATTCTGGGACCATACTATTTTGCTCCATACTTACTGTTGGTAAAGCCCGCCCGTTATATTCCACAGGTCATATCCCTATCTTTATGCGGGGCATGGTGACCCGGCTCCATGTGAACTACCCCAAACCTAGGTCCCATTCACTTCACTGGTTGGTGGTTTTAACAATCTTGAAACATATTAGGCAACGGGAATGATTATCCCATATATTATGGAACATAAAACATGTTCCAAACCACCAACCAGTGCCCGGTATTTACCACAAAAATCTGAGATGTGAACTGTCCAATTCCCATCAGATCTGTAACTAACTTTAATGCATGAACCTGAGGACCTGAGCCAAGGTCAAGTTGGGATGATTCCCCAACACATATCTTTCTTGGGGCTGCAATTGAGGTTATAATGTGGGTCAAACAATGTCATAAACCATCCCCCAAAACTGCTCAATTTTTAAAGGTGGTATTATTAAACCGCTTCCAGTCATGCTTGGTATATGACATTGCTTTACCATGTTTTACTTACATTAAATGATGTTGTATCACAGTTGTATTGGTGCTAAGTTGGGGTTCGCATAACTCCATTTTCACCATGGTTGTTCTACAGTAGGTGATATATCGAACTAGTCAATCTGGTTCATGGTTTCAACCCCTCTGAAAAATATGAGTTCGTCAGTTGGGATGGTTATTCCCAATATATGGAAAGTCATAAAATTAATGTTACAAACCACCAATCAAATACTCACTGAGTCCTGGAAAACTCTGGTAAACATACAAAAAACTATGGAACATCACCATTTTTCATTGGTAAATCAACTATTTCGACTAGGCCATTTTCAATAGCTTTTTGTATGTTTACCAGAGGGTAAGTTATAACTGGGGGAGCACCACCTTGGATGTGAAAATTTGGGTCTCCATCTCTCAGCTGGCACCTCCTGCGCCCGAGAATCGCCACGCTCACACCTTCAAAACACGGGCTTGGGGCGGCTTCCAGGAACGCGTGGCTTCTGAAAAGGCAAATCGTATAGATTCCGGCATTTTTCCAAAGATAGAGGATATATGGAATAAGAATAGATTATAGATTGGAATAATATATTGGAATATATTGGTTTATGCTTCATTCGAACGCTTAAATTTTCGCGTTCTGTGTCACCCGGAAGTATCATCTCAGGGGCCTCCGTTCTGTGTCACCCAACTTTGGGTGTCATGTCCCGATATTTTGGGCAAATGCATCCATTGTTTTCCGCAACATGTTCAGATTCTTGGTGGGACAGTTATTAGTTCTTAGTTTCAATCCAGATTCAAAGGAAAACATATGTAAAACCTGATTTCAACTAACAAAGACATTCTTGATACGTGTTCAAAAGACAATGTCTTTGGCGCGTTGTTTGTATCAAGGTTCAACGGCCAAAGACATTGTCTTTTGATCGTTGTGGCATGGGATGAGTCATTGGATGGGAAAATCTTCACCAGAAACTTTCGGCTTTTCTTCCATCAAATGTTATCTGATTGGGGGTTCAACCCTAACCTGGTTGGTGTTCGTCAGTTGGGATGATGACATTCCCAATATATGGAAAAATAAAAAATATTTGAAACCACCAACCAGCTAAAGTTTCAATTGAACCAATAAAAATACAATTATCCCATCTCATTACACTAGTGGTTCATAGGCTTCTCTACTATGGGTTATCAACCATGCTATTTTAAATGGCTCAATGAAAAACCAATCCAAACATTGGCTACGCCGGCTACGCGAATCGCTAGCGAGAGACTGGAGTTGTAGTTCCAACTCCAAGGTGCGCTGCCTTTCGCAATGAGGTGAGCTGAAGATGCGGGGCAATAACAAAATCACTATGAAGTAAATATGTTAATAGAAAATAATATATATATATTGAAATTAATAGATATTAACAAATATTAATCGGAATTCATAGATATGAATAGAAAACAATAGATATTAGAAGATATGATTGGGGAATATTTAACTGGGATTCAACTCTAATACTATGTATACTGTATACGTAAACATAGAATACACAGTTCAATAAAATCAACTATTGGACTTATCCAATGTAGTTATATATGATACAATATGTTATCTATACATATAGTATCTATGAACATATCCATGTGATTCTACTGGAATTTAAGCATCAACTATTATATGTTCATAGATATGTTGTTGGGAGGTCAATTCTTGTGATTTTACAGGGATCAGACAAAGTCACGCCTAATTCACACCTAAACCTTATCCGTCACTGGAACGCAATTCCGAGAAGTCATACCTTAGTCATGCCTTTTGGGCTTCTCCCCATCAGAGCGCTGCACCAACTTCGGACCAGAACCAATGTGGTGCCTTTTTTCAGATGAAACGAGAATCCATTATCCCATTAAATCATATTGAATCCCTATAGGATCCATGATAAATGTTCAGACATTTGGGGATGGTTCCCCCAATCCGGATCCCAGAAAATTTGCAGTGACATTCCTCCGTTTTCCTGAGATTCTACCAAAAAAATGGACTCTTAGATATTAATTTTTGAGGATTTAAGATGATTTAACCATCAATTACAGATATTGCATGATATTATATGGGGGTCGGAGTGGGCTTATGAATTTCAAGCTTTTGATAGATGATCATATATAGTTTCCCGAAAAAAAGATGGATTATAGATAGAACATGATAGAACCCTGATAATATGTATACATATATACAGTTATATAATGTTATATACATTACAATCTAGAATCAACAACATATTTCATGCCATAAGTCCGACAGCATCCAACAGCCTACCCCCGGGTGTCAGTTGGCAAGCCTCCCAAAGGTGATGAACTTGATGTGCGTTGGGTATATGCCACCAAAATGGGGAAGCTATAACATTTAAGGACATTGAAAAGCTATAGATAGGCTATCAAGTAGCTATGAACAATACCTTAGAATCCAATTTAAAACCTCGTTTTCCCCGATCAAAATGGTCACAAATCATTTGTTTTTGACAAACCCTGTTGTTTAAAAATCGTTGGTTCACAGCACTTCATAACAGTGGTTATAGGTAACCAAGCTATATAATCTTTTGCGGGATATAACATAGACCCGCCGACGTAATCACATGGCAACGGATATGGATCATATTTGTTTCGGTGATGTTCCCAGCTACAAAGCTCCATTGAGTTGCAAGATTTCCCCGCTAGCAATGATTGACTACCATATGTTAGTCCATGTTAGTTCTTATTCTGGTTGGTGGTTTCAACCTACCCCTCTGAAAAATCATGGAGTGAAAGTCAGTTGGGATGATGACATTCCCAATATATGGAAAAATAAAAATGTTCCAAACCACCAACCAGTATATGTTGGTTCTTAGTATCCGATTATATCCCCATTAAATGGTTATTGAGGGTAAATCATCAACCATTTCCAGCTAGAACCCTCCCTCCATTCAGTTTGGTAACTATTCCTATTGAAGCATCCGTTGATAGGGACATGTAATGTTTCCCCACATTTCGACATCCGTTTAGGGCAGGAAATCTATTGAAATGCAAAGGTAAAGATTTTCCCATTACATTCAATCATGATCTATGATACGCACCTGGATGCCTCGGCTTGCACTAGAGCTCGTTCCAAACGCGACCTCGAAAAACTGCAGAAATGGGTGAGGGACCCGTGGCGGCCCGTGGCAATAGTTCTGGTGCTAAACCGGATAAATTGTCAT